AGAGGGTGAGTGATAAGGACATGAGCTCCATACATACGATCATGCTTGGAGATAGAGGCCGAAGAGATCAGCGAGGTTGTCATAACTGAGAAGGAGGCCCGAAGCTCATCCGGTTCGAGTCACCAAGGTGGAGGCCCAAATCAAGTTCGAGCCCATCTTGGGTTCCGGGACCAGTCTATCATAAAACTGGTCACATGGGTGCGTCCGGGCTCCGTTTTTGATGATTCACATATGGATGGAAAGCTAATTAGATAAGGAAGCCAATGCAAGTGGTCTCACATCAAAAGCCCTTCGGAATCAACGGAAATCATCGAAACAAGTCAGCGTCCAGAATCTACCAGGGTGCTGCGACACCATCTTTTGGTCCGTTGGACCGTGTATCGTTTTTGGGCCCATTAGGGGGCGCATCCAGGGGGATGACGCCCAAGACTCTATAATTAGCAGCCGTCGCTCTCCTTAGGGTTTGGGGGGTTTTGTTTAGTTCTTGATTTCCTTATGAAACAGACGTCGTTTTGTTTGCAACTGTGCCGCCAAGGCCGCTTGCTGTGAACCAGGGCCCCTGTTCTTGATCTTGTTCGCCTGTGGCGATTAGTCCTTTCGAATAAAGACTTGAACTCCTTCTCGTTATCATAAGCCTCATATTTATTTGCAATTTCAGATTGCGTTCATCCCGTTTTTACTTGTGTTCTCGATTCGCTTGCAGGAAAGCCTTCTCGGCGAGGTCAATCGTGTTCGCATGGTTGATAACCAATGGAGCAGTGGTGTAACAGTTGCGGGGGTCCAAATCAGTCTTGGTTCGAAGCCTAGATCATGAACGTCGAGTCTCCACCAATCGACGCTATCGTACCTATTGGAAGATCGACCACATTAGTGAGGCGACGCAGGTCCTCCTTGGACGGCTGGGGTCTCAGGGAGACGCCGAGCTGGCGCTCAAGCCTCCCGTAGTTGAGGCCGATGGAGGGGAGAGGTTGGATGGTGGCGTGAGCCAATGCCAACTCTTCTCCCACCGTGACGATGAAGTCCAGGTCACCAAAGCGCACGTGTGCGCCTAGGACCTAGCTAATTCCGTGGCTAGCCATCCATGGCCTGATGTTAATGTCGGAATGCGCAAAGGTCCCCTACCGAGCGCGCCAACTGCCGGTGTTTCGAGTAAATACCAACTAGTAAATTTGTATTATTGTACGTTAGGCCCGGATGGTGTGCTAAAAAGACACAAGGTTTATACTAGTTCGGGCAGAATGTCCCTACGTCCAGTTCATGGTTGTTGCTCGTGTTATTTGCACTGAAAGGTTCGTAGTAGGGGGTACAAACGGGCGAGAGAGGGACAGATCCTAAGTCTCTGATGGAAAGGTCGAACGGGTGCTGAGAGCTTGGATGCTGCTTAGCTATGTGGTGTGATGTCTGTGGAAATTTATCCGTCCCTTTAGTGGAGTGCCTTGCCTTCCCTTTTATAGATCAAGGGGGAGCAGGGATTACAGATGGGAGAAAGAAGAAAAACTAGAGGCAAAGAAGGTCCTTCGAAGGTGCCGGGTCTTCCTTTTCCTCTGAGTCAGCCCTGCTGACATGGCAGACAGTGCCAGGGATAGCTCCATGTTGGGCATCTATCCGTTGATGATGCCATGCTCTGACTTGATCAGCAAGTGGTCACGTCCCATCCCACCCTGGTGGGCGGCGTGACGGATCGGGGTGTTGATCCGCAACCCCACGGGGAGCGGATGGCGCAGTGACTGCACGTCTGTCACTGTAGAGGATGTGAGTCTCCTCTTTGACCATAGTGGTTGTCGTATGGTTCCGTCAGGATCCGCGCCCGAGGGCCAGTGGCGGCGCCCACAACACTGTAAAACAAATGTCAGCGCCTACAACACTGTTTGGGCTCTGACATGCCCGGAAGGGCCTTAAAGCGCCTGTCTTGTCATATCCTGACGGTACTTTCCTATAGGCGTGCAGGGTGTGGTCCTTGGTATTGTGGTTGACTTGAGTGTCCTGCCTTATTTGCGTGCGTAGTTATGAAGGAGCAGCGTGCAGACGTTGGGCAAGGCGGTGCCAGCCCCCGGGCGTCGGGCGAGGCGGAGTCTGGCCCCAGACGTCGGGCAAGGCGGAGTCTGCCCTCAGACGTCGGGCGAGACGGAGCCAGCCCCCGAGGGTCGGGCGAGGCAGAGTCTGCTCCCAGATGTTGGGTGAGGCGAAGTCTGCCCTCAGACGTCGGGCGAGGCGGGGTCTACTCTCAGACATCGGGCGAGGCGGAGTCTGCCCTCAGACGTCGGGCGGGACGGAGCCAGCCCCCAGACGTCGGGCGTGGCGGAGTCTGCCCTAAGACATCGGGTGAGGCGGAGTCTGCCCTCAGACGTCGGGCGAGGCAGAGCCAGCCCCCGGACGTCGGGCGAGACGGAGTCTGCCCTCAGACGTCGGGCGAGGCGGAGCCAGCCCCCGGACATCGGGCGAGGCAGAGTCTGCCCTTGGTCGTTAGGCAAGAGGTGTAGTCGCGCTCTTGTCTATTCGAAAGCATCAACGTTTGATGTATATTAGCTCCTACTCTTTGGGTACCCTAGTATTTGGTCCCCAACAATTGGGAAGTGTAAAAGATGTGCCGTTTGTTGCGTTGAAAAGTTAACTGGATTATCCTTCCAACCATATATAACATGCACCACAAAACTCTAGTGGATGGTACAATTCAATGAAAAGTTGTATTGATATCATTTCCCAAGAAGAATGTTGACCTTCTGACTTAGTCTAGAAAATTGGTTGCCTAGTCATATTGCTTAGAAACATTGACGTACGAACGCACTTTGCAATAGTACAAGGCTTATTATACATTGGTTCCAAAAAATGCCATTGACATAAAAATTATGTTGGGCTAGCATGTTGGAAAGCGAGGTTTTCTACCTCGACTACCCTTATGCCAATTTGATGATAAGAGGTTCCCTTTTAGTTTAAGAGAAAGTCGGTCTCCATTCGGTTCAACTTCGCCATGACCATCAATAATGCACGGAGGCAGATTAACATTGGAGGGAACTTGCCGGAGTGTTCTCATATGGACAATTGCATGAAGCGCTCCACATCAAGATCAGACATTAGGATTTTGTCCGTTGCAGCTGTTGAGGAGGACATGAACAAGGAAAGAAAAAAATCTCGATGGTAAACGATACATACACGAAGGATATCATCTACAAAGAGGTGCTAACTCCGCAAACAACGTAAGATCTCTCATTTATCATGTTGGTTTAATATAATATTTTAATTTATAAATATTATTTTTTAAAATAGTCTGTTCATTTTGACCTGGTTACTATACATTGTCCTTTCTATATTTGTAGCTGTTACTAGGTGATTTTGTTCATGAGAATTAATATTACTTTATCTTTAAATATTAACAAATACTCCGTAGCTTATATGTAGAAGTTTGAATTGTTATGCACCCAACACTACGCTGCATGATGACATTGAATTCGCCATTGTCTATCTGAGCTATTGAGATTGCATAACAAGACAGGAGCACACCGTGAAACCTTCAATTCGTCGCTAGTGTTCAAGGACTTCGACAACTAGAACCCAAGCAAGAGACTTTTTGATCCAGCTATCGACTTATGATGGAAATTGTAAAATATTTTTAATTCTTGCGACTGCAAATCTATAAGACTTTCACATTAAAACTTAAATTATATGCTAAATGTTTATGCTTTATAAAGACGATTGACTACAAACTGTTGCAAACATCACACAAGTATGTTTTTTAGTAATAATACAACACATTCAAATTTGAAGCATCATATTTTTTTATTTCTACTACAACGCACGATTTTACATTATATGCTAAATGTTCATGTTTCATGAGTAGCAACAAATTGGCTACACCCAATGTTACAAACATCACTCAAAATATATTTTTTTAATAATAATCAACATGTTCAAATTTGAATTATTATATTTTTTACTCCTGTTGCATCGTACGAGTATAATATACTAGTAAAGAAAATAAACTAGGTAGGTCTAGTTCAGCGGAAATGGAAGACACAGGCAAAGAGGGGAAAGAAAAATCTGGAAGTAAAAAAGGTGAAGCGAAGGTAAGAAAAATATGTCCTACATTTCAAGTTTGCGTTGCATGTGTGTAATCGCTATAGGATGCACGAGATGACTCATATCTGACTGGCTTGTCAGACCCAATATCTGACTGGTGCAAATCGATCTTACATTAACGCGATTTTAGTCCTTATACAAACCCACCATAATAAGACTAGTTTTGGTAAGTAAAAGATGCTACAAAATGGAAAGGGAAAAAAGCTCGACCTCCCGTAATTCATCACGGTTCACGGATCATCGTACCAGATCCCCTAGTTCAGATGCTCTTCAAGGGTTTCTGTGACAGGTTCCGGCGACGTGTCTTCACCAGCGAGTTCTCCAACTCCTGTGACTCGCCAGAAGAGAATAGATTAACCGATTATATATATAGTAGCCAAAAAAGAAATCGTAAAAGTCACAGCTTGCCTATATACACAAATAACTATATACACAAATAACTGTACAAATCCATCTCCAAATTCAAAAACGGTACAAGAACTGGACAGTAACCAACCATGGATTGAACAGTACACGTGACATTGGTCCATTGAATTTATAAACAAAAATTCTCCAAGGAAGAAATACTATGTCTATTTGTGGAAAGGTTATGAAAATTATTCTCACCACATTTATCTGGATAATTTGATTCCAACTGAATAATCAGTACACTTTGGACGAAAGCACAGAAATTAACTTCCTAGGCTTTCAGAATGCTCAGAATGATCTCTGCATTGGTACTTCGAATGCATGACAAACCCACACATCCATCCTCCATGCATGAGGAAAGGGCCGACTTTGGGAACTCTACTGCCACTGAGACTGAGTATGTCTAGAGCTATATCCTTGGTGCATTGATAACAATGGTAAACGATGATAAATGTTGAGGGAGTGAGGAGTAGCCCCCGCCCCACCCTGGTACTCTCCCGAATAATTTACTTATTTTTCTAGGTCATCTCATGAGGAAGTTCCTTAAATATCCGTTCTAACTGCCAGATACAGACATCTCTCTAAAAAATTCAAAAGTTGCATCCAAGATCAAATTCAGCAGCAAATGCAATCGGATAGCAAATCAGCCCAGTTACCAATAGTATGCATCCCCAGCCTGTTCGGTTGGCTGGTTCGTTTCGTTGCTAGTTCGTGAAGAAGTAATGCTGGCTGATTTGTGTGAGAGAAAAATACTGTTCTGGCTAGAAATTTACGATCGTTTAGGACAAGCCACAGCCAAACGATGTGATCGCAACCCTACATACCAATAGTATCAGTCCGGTTAAGAATTTGGATAAACAGCAATGACATTCCTCTTCATGATTTTCCTTTGTACATAGTACATTTAATATGAGAATTGCATGCTTTATTAATTGAGATATACAGCAGATGTGGGTTACGGTTTTAGAGGCATTGTGGCGTCCTATGGAGTTGGGGTACACCTGGACGCCTAGGTGCATTTTAGGCAACGCCTAGATGATATAGCATAACTAAAACCTTGTGGCGTCCTGTGCCACCTGGTGTACACTACAACAGCATGGTGACGACTTAAAAACCATGTTTGATAGGGTTGAATCATTCAATGCCGATGTTAGAATGTTAGGGCATAAAGCCGTAAACAATTAGAGTAAATAACTTTAGAATACTGCAGTGTAAACTGTAAAGTTAAATCCAATATTCATTTTCAATAAAGCAACCTTATGAGGATTGCCAGTATGAGGATGCAGGACAGGAAGATAACTGAAAACAGGACTGAAGGAAAGGAGTTGACAAAGCAAGTCCATGTTTTCACAATGGTCCTAGCGCTTCTTTCTTTTTGCTTAATGCGTAATTCAGTATTTAGTTTTTGGTTGCAGTTTCATTCTGGTCCAGTAAGGAGTTGTATCGGTCGTCTTAAACCTCTATATACTAATTGCTTCCATGTTTGTTGCTACCAGGTGTTTCTCAATAATGCTTTTGTAACCAGATATGTTTCATTTGTTACAAGGTGGAATATGTCCACACATTGGAAAAAATGTGCCCATTTGATTTAGTAAGTATTCCATGATGATCAATGACATCAAATTGTGTTCATAAAAGAGATGTCTATTTTATGGTGTGCTTTCTGTTCTAAATACAATTTTTGTTGTTATATTTCAGTTTTGTTTACTAACTTGTTGGTAGCCAGGATCAAATCTACAGAATCAGCTAAACTATTACTAAATGGGAGACCAGTAACCACTGGTCTTGAGGTGAACCCAGTAATGTCTTTTATTAATCAATTCTTTAGTTACACTTTCACTAATTACCTTGAAATAGTCACATTTCATCCAAAGGTACTCAAACCCTGCCGGATGAACATTTGTTGTTGTATAATCACTAGGTAACATCAAGCTCCCAATAAAAGCTTGTAAGATCAAGGACCCTAAGGAGCACAAAGTTTACGGAAATACATTTATTACATATAGTGTGACTCCCTTCAGCTAATCAGCTTACTACCAACTCAATTCACTAAGCAAACAATGTCTGGTATCTATAATATAACAATTATAGAAATAGAAATAGAGAACATTTTGTTACTGAGTTAGATTGGCAAAGCCTCATTTTGATGATCTGGGCACATCACGCTTTGATAATTAGATATGCTTGAAAAGACCGTGTACCTGTTTCTTATATCAAATTGTTTACTTAATCACAATATTTCTGTATACACCATCATTTTTACTGGAAAGTTTTTCTGTGGACATGCAGAGAAAAGCCATATCTTCCCACTAGTTGAAGCACATATACTAAATTAAACAGACATGAAACAAATATGCTTTTACACAGAACTCATTTGCACACTATAAAAAAGCAAAATGGACACTAAACAAACACAATTTTACATAGAATGCATGCACTCTAGACAGATTGGAACGCCCGACAACAGCAGATTTTATTGATATTCAAACACTATCAGGCTTTAAGGCCACTAGAGTTAAAATCATATAACAATTCAGGTTATAGAATGCCAAACTACTGTCATGTTTTTGCTCAACATCAAACAAATCACATAAATATTCAGAGAAGTACTGTGCTCAATCGATTTATCCAACATTGACAATAAACAATTAACAACATAAAATACCAGCTATCATTAATAAGAGACTTATGATATCATTTATATGTGGAAACAACAATAAAACACAATTATAAGGGCACTAACCTGAACAGAAGTGTTAGGGGACACCTCTTTTGACCAAATGCTTTCTAAATCATAATACTCTCTTGCCCTTTCTTCAAGTGCGTGGATGATTATGCTTCCTGAGATAACAAAAGGTCAAATTACATGGATAGGGCAAAAGACTTCACCATAAAGCAATCATCCAGAACAACTTCTGATAGCGTGAAACCGAAAATGGTAGAGGTACAAGACATGAAACTGGAGTTTGGAATCCAATATGCTCTATTTTTTGGATAGTTTGTTACTAACATCAAATTTGGCCTCTACTTCCTGTAGCGCCATGAAATTCCATAGATTATTACTATAAAATTATCTGATATATTCCGTTGTTGATGTATATTACAAACAACAAGCATCGGCAATGTGGCATTGCTTTCAAAATCATATTAGCCATACTCAGGAAGTCAGGATACACCAGGAATTCACATGTTCAATACAGTTTTTCGATCAATGTACCCTTAAATGTAATTAGATTCTCAGAAAATGTTTTCAAACTCCATAAACAATTTAATGATCAGCTTATGAAGGTTTATATAAAAGGGAAAAGAAACTGTAGTTAATAAAAAAGAATCTTAATTCCACTGTTGAATTTCTTGAGGATGACTAGAGTGCACCAGCCTAATGTTGAACCCCAAAAGTCAGATATTTGCTAACAGAATTCAAACGCTGTTGATCTTTGGAAACAAATAGAAAGTAAAAGAAAATCAGCAAGTTAACAAACAATTCTTTTTTTTCTCTCGAAAAAAGTTAACAAACAATTCAACTAAAGTTAAGATCACTTACTTAATAAGGAAAATTATCAAATATGACTAGATGTACACATAATCATCACACTTGTGGCATTAGTGATAAGAGAAAAGGTTCAGCATGGCACATTTTATCAAAACTTGCACTCCAGTTAACAACATTGTATGTACACTGGTTTTCAATTCTACCAAATACTAAGAAATGCAATAATTGTAGGAGCACAACACAATAAATTGGAAGAAAAATCATGCTTTATGCCATCAATTAGATGACAATACTTAAGATTATTTTCAACACCACAAGATTATTTTCAACGCCACACAGATTTAACAAATAAATTGCCATAATTAAATCACAAAGTGGAAAGGATGAGAATATGAGATGCTCAGATTACCTGAATCAATGACAACCCATTTTCCCGCTTGCTGACCTTCTACACTTGGCATCAATATTCTATCAGAGCCCTTCTGCTTTTGCTTTATCTGTAACAAGATAAGATCAGCCAGTAGAATTTCACAGCATGTTCCAGCAACTGAAGGGGAGACTTAAAATAAACATACACTACATGTCAATATAATGAAAAAATATATTTAAAAACATTACCAGGAAGAAATAAATAATCATTATAAGTAGTCAAAACTGAAAGATGAGGCAGCGGAGTAGAATATTTTATATTGAAATTTTTGTTTCTGCCCTTCAAACACTTGCAATGGTGTTTCTGTCATTCAAAATCACAATCTCTACCAAATCTGGTTGCAGATCTGTTCTGCTATTGGTTTAAGTCAAAGGTGTAGTCAAATAAACTGCTATCACAAATCACAAAAACGACAATGACCCTTATTGATTTCACCATACCTTCCTCAGAATAAAACACTAGCACAAGGCTCAGGTTGCTTTAACGCGCCAAGGGAGTTGTCTGACTACCAATGCAAAAAATTGAACTGGAGCCTGGACGGGATCAAGGATTGGTGCTAGGATGGACCATATCAGAGCCGACGTTGGGGTGCAACATTCTTAATTTGAAAAGATGGAAAATAATAATAATTACACTTCCAAGAGAAGTATCCAAGACAAATCAATTACATAAATGCGAATGTATAGTATCCATAGATCAGGGAATCATATATAAGTCTAGGATTTGTGGTTTTCTAATCTCTAGAAGACGATACTAACGAACATGAATTTATTAAATCAACAGAAAAAAAATCATCTATGAGCCAAATTGTCCAGGTGCTTCTGGAGCCAACTCCAGTTGCTTAATGAGAAACATTTCCAAGTTGCCCATGAATGCACATCAATCAATTGAATTTTATCAATGCCAATTCAAGTAACAAATAAATCCATCTTCAAACCCCAGATATACTGATGTGGTAAATGGTGTGTCTATCTGGCACAACATTTAACAAAACAAGCAGGCTCTAAATTATATACAAGTAAATGTGTAACAAAACACCAAGAATCATGATGGTGTAGTCAGCCATCTAGGGATTGATGCTACTGAGCTAAGATGGACCATGCGTGAGGCAGGTCCCCCCACGTATCAGAGGAACATAAGAATATTAACTTTTACTTAAATTAAAACTGAAAGAATAAAGATTATCATACCCCATGTGGCATGTGTCCTACACAAATCAGTACATAAACTCACTGGTACAATATCGATGCATCAGAGAAAGGTATAGTTCTCAAGTCTAGAGTTTGATTGCTCAATGTACCAGTATAGTTTCTGAATGATATCCAGCAAAGATACCAACAAACATGAAAACAGACTTCCTAGGTCCTGAATCGGTCGGGGATTCTTGGCTCTTAGCCTGTTTAGCTAGCTTGACTTCCAACTTACCCACAAATGTGAAGCACTCAATTCGAACAACACCCATCTCAATCCAGTTGCCGAATGAAACCTTTGTCAAATCCCAGATGTTATTAATCCAGGAAATGGTGGGATGAACGGTATGAAATTAAGCAAGAGCCTTGCAGGCTACAAATCTATAGGGTCATAGGGTGTTTGGATTGAGGAATGAAATAGTCCATCATCTTCACTTACTTTTTGTTTGGCTTTCAGAATGGAATGAGTTGATGCATCAGCACCTCATTCTCATAAGTCAATATTTAACTAGTTTGAGGAATGGAGTCATTCCACCAAATGGGATGGATGTTTGATTTGTAGAATGGAGCGGTCCATCATCATCTCACAAACTAGTTTTTGGTTTGGTTTGTGGAATAAAATGAGTTGATCCATCGGCTAATAATCAGTACTAGTACGAGAAATGAAGTCATTCCACTAAATTTGAGGAATAGACTCATGCTGGGTTGATTCCCCAAACCAAACACTCCATTAAAGAATGGACTTACGATGCACCCCATCTAGACGGAGGTGATTCCCCAAACCAAACGCCCTCTAACAGTCCAAGGCAGGATAATCACCAAGAAAATGGCTGGTTGGGATGCCCCGGGAAAAAAAAAACAGGAAACCTTCATTTCGCTCCTCTCGAGGGAGGAAGAGGAAGGAGAAAATCAGGGGAGTGCGTGCCTTGTAGAGGAGCGCCTGCGCGATGTTGCGGACGTGCCAATCGGAGCGGCCTGTGGCGACGACCATGTAGTCGGCGCAGGCACCCCCGTGCAGCCCGCCCTCGCCGACGGGGAAGACGCGCACGTCGCCCGCCCGGACGTCGCGCAGCACCTTCTCCACCTCCGGGAGCTCCAGCAGCGCCGCCGCCTGCGGCCGCGCGGGAGAAGTGCCGGAGGAGGAGGACGAGGAGGAGAGGAGGCGTGGGAGGAGGTGCGGCGGCGATCGCCACCGGCCAATGGAACCAGATCGCACGGCGGAGAGCATCGACGGCGGCGGCAGGGTTTTCGATGGCTTTTCTTTTTCCGTTACCTTTTCCGTTTCTCACTCTAGGGAGGAGCCGAAGCCGAGCCAAAAGGGGACGCCGGTTTTAACGTGCATCAAATTTTCATTGAGAAAATACTCTCTCCTTCCGAAAATAAGGGCTCATCTCATTCATCGACAAGTCAACAGATCTTATGTTTAATAATTTTTTAGAAAAAAATAGTATTAACATTTAAATTTCTAAATAGGTTTAGTATGAAAATATATGACATGGTTAATCTAATAATACATATTTTTGATATCATTAGTACTTTTTTATACATATTTTGTAAAACAAAAAAATATTTGACTCCTCAAAGTGCGAGACGTGAACTTATTTTAAGACGGAGAAAGTATACTCTATGGACACATAAAAATATAAATAAATCTAAATTAAAACTTGTTCAGGTAGAAAAGATATCAGTGTAAGAATAATCCACGGATTGGCGAAAATCCATATCTATGCCTATGATCTACTCCCTCACTTACAAATTATAATATGCTTTTGTTTTTTACATATATTACTTTAACTATGTAACTAGATATATATGAGAAGTCTACAAGTAGCAGCATAAATAACCCATGAACCCAATTTAGTCTACTAAAAAATTTGAAATGGAGAGGATTGGACTTGGACAGTGGGACTGCCTGATTGCAAAGATCAGGAAAAAAAATGAGGAATGCAACACTGGTCCTGTTCGCTTCTCTTATAATCCGGCTTCTTTGACTTCTTTTTTCAGCTGGAACAGTATTTTTCTCTCACAATAAATCAAGCGGAACAGTGTTTTGGCTTCTTTTTCCAGCGAAGCGAACGGAGCCACTGATATGCTTCACTACTTCTTTGGCTCCCGCCTCCAGCACCGTGCACCGGCAGTTTGCCACCAGTGCATAACATGTCGGTCGCCGCCACACCCGGCATCGATGGAGCTAGTATATATATGTCCATGTAGCCCAAGGCACGGCAGCCCGATCCGAAGCCCTCAAATTTGGCCCGACACGAGCACGGCCCGGCCCGGTGGCGTACGGGCCCGGGCTGGCACGGCCCGGTGTAGCAGGCCGAGCCTAGGCCTTACCCCAGGCACGGCGTGCCGGCTCGGCAGCGGCCCGTTAACCCCCCCCCTGCGGCCCCGCCTAGTCGCAGTCGGCCAGCCGATCGGCCCAGCCCCAACGGGTCCCCACGGCCGTGGCCCCGCACTGAAAGGTCCTGGTGTGGTTTTGGTAATTGAATGACAACCATAGGTGGACTAATTATATTTATATGAGATACACAGGTGATTAGTCCACAGGTACATGTATATGAGCAACATATGCCATGAAGGTTGTAATGGCTCGGAGATGTTGCAAAGCTCATACATGTGATGATGAAGGAGCTCATTGCACATGAGACATGACATTGAGTTATGTGATCAAGGTGGAGAAGATCAAGACAAGACTTGGCTTGATGAACCGGTTGCAAGCGTGAAGGGCAAGTCGGAGGCTTTGGAGAAATGGACCGCGTGGCGGTGAAGATTGAGCAAGACTTGGCGTCGATGGACGAAGGCAACGGTGAAAAGCAAGTGAAGTCAAGATCGATGAACCAATATGATCACGTGATGATATGAAGTGGATCATATCATTGTTGATCGTGTTGGTGCATGTGTTGCATCGACATTGGAGAAGATGGAATAGAATGCGCAAGGCAAAGGTATAGCCTAGGGCATTTCATTTTACCGGTTATAGGTGTGTAGAGAAGTTTATGAACGGGTTTAGGATAGACGGCCGTACTATCAAGAGGGGCAAACTTGTTTGCATATCGGTCATCTAGTGCCACTCGAGTGATCTATCTTTACATCGTTATTAGGATCGAGTGGCGTGGCAAGTTGAGTAGCTAATCCTTTAGAAAATATTTGTGAAAAGCTAACACACATACACATAGTGGTGTACACTTGGTGGTGTTGGCACATTTGCAAAGGAGAAGAAGTTGGTGAAGAAAAGGAGTTAGTCGCGCTGGTCACAGAGTGACCGGACGCGTCCGGTGTGGATACCGGACATGTCCAATATGTTATCCAGACTTCAAGTAGTCTGACAGGAGTGACCGGACGCGTCCGGTGTGGCTACCGTATGCGTCCGATATTTGGACCCAAGGTGAGCGACTAAGTGAAAGTGACCGGACTCTGGCTCAGAGGAGTGATTGGAAGCTGAGGAGTTACTGTTCAGCATTCGGTCAAAGAGACATAGCCCGAGGCAGGATCGCAGACAGCGATCGGACGCTGCCACCGGACATGTTTGGTTGCCAATATGACTCAGCAGTCTTGGGTTTCAGCGCTATAATTGACCGGACGCTGGGAGCGTCCGGTCCAGAGTGACCAGACGCGTCCAGTTGGCCCTGGGAGCTTACTGGACTCGACCGGACGCTGCGGCTCAGCATCCGGTCATTTCGAATAGCACGTCCGATGGACATGTCAGAGAGAGCCGTTGGTGGCAACGGCTAGTTTGAATGGGACACGTGGCGGGTCAGCTGCGATCGGACGCAGGCGACCAGACGCGTCCGGTGCAAACGACCTGCGCATCCGGTCGTCCCGAAATTTGCCCCGAAATTTGCCTAGTGAAGGGGTAACGACTAGTTTAGCCCATGTGGCTATAAATAGAAGGTGGTCTTGGCCTTGGCTGGTGCTGAGCACCTCGGGGGACTTTGTGTCCATGCTTGTGAGTGCTTGGGAGCCCTTCATCTCACATATGCTTGATAGTGGTCATTTGATTGTGTGGGGGAGCGATTCTAGTGCAATTGCATCGTGAGGTTGCATCGAGTGGCACTAGGTGATCGAGTTGCAAGTCGGTAGTGCTTGTTACTCTTGGAGGTTGCCACCTCCTAGATGGCTTGGTGGTGGTCTCCGTCGAAGCCCGCAAGAAGCTTGTGCGGTGCTCCGGAGAAGAGCTTTGTGAGGGGCATTGTGTTCGCCCCGCGGGAGCCGCGAAGAGCAACTCTAGTTGAGCGTGTTATTGAGCTACCCTCACTTTCGGGGTAGGTTCTTGTGGTGCCCGACGTGCAGGCTTGGCGGGTGATGCCAATTAGCCGCTGAACCACCAAGTGAGCGGTCGACACAACGGGGACTAGCGTGTTGGCAAGCACGTGAACATCGGGAGAAAAATCACCGTGTCAACTTTGTTCTTCCCGTTGGTTTGAAATCCCCTTACACAAGATTGTAATTACTTGTATATACATTGTGCTTATGTAGTTGCTCTTGTAATTAGTTAGCTTGTGTAGCTCACTAGTTACCTTATTGCTTGTGTAGCATAGAAGTAGCTCCCTTGCGTGGCTAATTTAGTTTGTGTAACCTAGTTAGTCACATTGCTTAGTTTGTGTAGCTAAGTATTTGCGCTCTCTAATTTAGCATTGGTTGCCTTGTTATTAAGCATTGCTAGTGAGCTTAGTTGGCTTTGTGCTTTTACCTACTAGAATGAGTAGGAGCTCCCTCATTGCTTAAAGTACTAGTGACATAGGTTTGTGTGACCTTGCTTCTAGAATTGGTTAGGTGAGCTCTAGCTAGCCCAGCACCTTAATTGCTTAATTAGGATCTTTGCAAGGTGCTAGAGAACATAGATAGAGGGGTGTAGTCTTGGCTAGACCAATAGATTTAATTCCGCACTTGTTTCGGTTAGCCGGTGCGATTAAGTTTTAGAAACGACTATTCACCCCCCTCTAGTTGCCATCTCGACCTTACACGCGCCCCTGCCTACACCCCCCCTCATATAAAAGCGGGAGGCCACGGCGCTCTCTCAGTCCCACCCCTCACCCCGAAACCCTAAATCATTTCCTGATCCTCACCCACCGCGCCGCTCTCTCATCTCGCTCTTGCCTCGCGCATCGTGGTCTCCTCTGCAGCTCCGGTGACCCCAACTCCGATCCACCTACCGCCGGTGATGACGCTCCCTTAGTCCCTCTCCTTACCCCAAAACCCTAAATCATTTCCTGATTTCCCCACCCGTGGCGCCGCTCTCTCATCTCGCTCTCGCCTCGCGCATTGCAGTCTCCTCTGCAGCTCCGGTGACCCCAACTCCGATCCGCCTGCCGACGATGACGACGCTCCCTTCTCCTCCTCCTTGACCCTGATCCCCTCCCTTCTCCCTCTCCCTCTCTCCCCTCTAGATCTTGATGATTATGTGAGTTCATGTCCCCGTCTGTCCCTCCTCTGTCGCTCGCCGTCGTTGCTAATCGGTGTGTCGTCTTCCTCTAGGTGGCCCTCATCTTCTCTTTGGCACCGGGCTCTGGTTGCACATGTATGAACCCTAACCCTAACCCTAACCCTAACCCTAACCCTAACCCTTCTTCTTATCTTTGCATAGGTTGGTAGCTAATGCGTCGTCCTCTAGCTGTGGCATAGAGCGACCAAGGCGGCCCCATGCACTGTTGAGGAACAGAGCTAGAGAGGAGGATGACGAGGGCACCATGGCTGAAGACGATGTCGTCTTGCCGCTAGGCCTAGCCCCCGAGGGTGAGGACGATGACGACACCCGTGAGGACGCTGTTGCGTTGTTCACTATCGATGTCGGTAGCGGCTCTGCTCTGATTGATCTGGACGGCGACAGTGGCAGCGGTGATGAAGGGGCGATGGCGACTAGGACCCTGGTCGCCTCCAACAGCTCATCTCCATCTATTGCTGGTACCTCTTCTGTTGGTAAGCGTAAATCTGTTGTGTGGGCTAATTTTGATGAGGTCTATGAGACTGTGAATGGTAGGCAGATTTGTACTAAAGCTACCTGTAAAATGTGTAAGCATACGTTGTCTGCTAGATCTTCTGCTGGCACTGGCCACTTGAAGAGTCACTAGAAATCTTGTAGGCAAAAAACTGATCAAGCTGCTAGGGTTTAGTCTAGGCTTGCTTACAATCCTGATGGTTCTGTGCATAACTGGAACTATAAACCCGATGTTGCTAGATCTGAGTTGTGTCGCTTGATTGCTAGGCTTGATTTGCCGTTAGGTATTA